TGGTCCGCGTATCGTACCAGTCCGTTGACCAAACCCGTACTGGTCCAAGCCCGTACTGGTGCATAGTTTGAGTCGTGTATTGAGTCCGCAGTGCTATCTGTACCAGTACGTAGTTTTAATCGTACTGGTGCGTAATTCGATTTATACTCGTCCGTACTTCTGACCCTACTTGTGCTAGTGCGAGGATATATTCAGAGTTTATATTTAGCTTCTCTCGACTACTTTCTAGAACCCAGTTGTAGATCTCCCTTACTAGCATATCTACTCCATGTCCTAGACCATTTTTTATCCTGATCCTTATTCCGAGCTGAGACACGAACCCTTTCTTCTTCTTTCGTTTGGGTAGCTACGGTAGGCAATGCGCCGCCTTCCCGAAATATACCCGGCTTTCCCCGGCACAAGTGTAGGAACAAATCTCTGCTTCACCTGAAGAGACCGATAGTTCTTTTCTATTCCTAAATTTGGGCCTGGTGCCTGAATCGGCACATCGGCCAGTCTGATACCTACCGGATAATTATATGACTGAACAATTGGGTTTAAGCCGAACCGCGTTCGGTAGGCCAAGGCTTGGTGATGATGCATTATGCAGCCCGTTTGGTTTCTTTCTAGGAGCGTGTCGCTAATCGCTGTCCAGTCGTGACCACGAGCGAGAAGGTAGTTCTTTATATAGATAAGCGAGTGCTTGAACTTATATCTGCCGAGGCCGATTCCATATATAATCTATGACCGCCGCTCCGAATGCTAAATTTAGTGTCATGGCAAACCGGCCATGGGGTGTCTGGAATCTGCCACTATGCTAATATCGGTATTTATTAACTCTGTTCGAGTTACTTTTCAATTTATTCTTTCGACATTACAACTACTCCCAAACTTAAGTTTCGCTATGCCTTGTTGGCTGGCAGGTGCTGTATGCGTGCAACCAACTGGTCCAATCATGAGCATGGAAGCCAAGGATCCGCAGCCAACAGTGCTATAGGGGATCTAGGCAGAATTGAATCAGCTCTTGCACATCGGCAGGTACAAAATACACATCGCTTCTTGTGATTTCTGCCCGCATCATTTCCTCGGTTCTTTCAACCTATCCAACATCTTGCATGTGGTCAAGAATGAATTCAATACTGCAAACAGACTTCAGGCTTTCTGATGTAGAGCTATCTGACGCACAGGACATTGGACATCATGTCGAAGTACCCGCCATGCAAAATGGTCCATTATACCGGACAATGTTTCCTCAGTTCAACACAGCCACAGAAGCACAAAAAGAGCAAATAACTCGCTGGTATATCGAGATGTTAGAAGATGCCTTCCAAGCCCGAGAGGAAAGATTTTTGAAGGCATGCTCTGTTGATGGGACTCCAGTTGGCTTTTGTGGTTGGACTGTTATAGAGCAGAACCATGACCAGCAACAAGCGGGTGAACCAAGAAAGAGAGAAAAGGGTCGGAAGGCATCCTGGCTACCGGACACACTTGATATAGATGGCTGGGTTGCTCTATCAAAGGATCTGAAAGCAGAACGCTCTCGGGTTTTAAAGGATCTCAATAGTATATGCCGTAAGTTAAATTACATCATCCCAGTATATCTGCTAATGGTTTCTACATCTAGGACTAACATTTATGGCGGTACATCCGAAGTATCAACGACAAGGGATAGGTTCAATGATGATGCAGCACATTTGTAAAGAAACGGACCAGCAAGGACGATGTGCATATGTGCTCGCAGCGCCGGAGGGGGTCCCACTCTATTCAAAGTTTGGTTTTGAGACTGTAGGTCATGTTAAGACAACTCATGGTGCAATCACAAGCATGTTTCGGCCATCTCGGCGTCCTTGTTAATCTTGGGTTGGCTAGAGTTATTACGTGGTACTTGTTAAGATTAACTCCAACATAGTTGTTTAAAGCCTTTAAAGGAGGTTTCACTGGCCTACTAAAGCCCTGCAACATAAAAGTTTAAAGTTAGTCATTATAACAATAAACACCAAAATATATTATATAATATTAATATAAATTGTTTATTTTATTATAGTTTTAAGTTTTATAATAATTATTTATATAGTTTATATTTATTATTATATTTTAACATTATTATAATAGTTTAAATATTTTATAATTATTTTAAAATTTAAATAATTATTATAAAAAATTTCTTTAATTTTTTTATATTAATTTACTTGTTTAAAATATTAATTAAACTTAATGTTTTATTAATAAAAACATTAAGTATAGTTAAATAATTTATTTAAAAAAATGTATAAGTGCTGGATAAAAGAACGTAAGGAATTCCTCAGGGTGGTACGCGAGTTAAAGAGGGAGCGTTGGCCCGGGGTCTTCGCAGAAGCGAAAGATAGCCCGGAGCTGTAACGAATTATCGCGTGGCACAAGCTAGGTGCTGCTCTAAAGTCCCCTCCCCTTGTAGTAAAGGACGAGAGATAGTAAATACCTTAGAAAAGGTGGAAGCACGGCATTCTTATGCTGGGGCAAGGCGCTTGAGAGGCTTTTAGCGAAGAGGATGGCGTGGCAAGCGCTCGCCTCGGGAACTATAAGCCCCCAACAAACAAGTACCTTGCCAAAAAAAAAAAAAAAATCAGTGATAGATCTCGTGGCATCACTAACACGGTATGATATCGAGTGGGCATTAAAACAGCCTGGGACGGTTTTAAGGGCTGGAAAAGTTCTGTTTTAAGATCTATTAGGTACTCTCTGCATAATATAATGCATAAATGCACACGGGTCGTTCAACCTACATAAAAGCGGCAAATGCGCTAAGCCTAATTTGTCGCGCATCCACGTAATCTAATATAGAGCTTCCTCTGCTCAGCTCTTATAGCCTCAGACACTTAGACCTAGGCAACCAAGTACGGTACTTTCAACATCGCCCTTGGCAATCGCCGATAAGTCTCTTCCACATGTTGTAATGTGTCGCGTCCTTTCTTGATATGTGAAACCTGGCTGTCTTCGTCCGCCATCTCCCACATTGGCCACATTGGTCACCTTGAACAGATTCGAATCGCGATAGCTACAACAACGTGTAGCATCTCGAAAAGATGGGCTGGAACGTGTGTATACCCTCCCCATCGCGTGGGCTACCCTCTTTGCGCCCTGTGTTCTAACTTGGCGATAGATCTTTCGCATCTTGGGAGATGTGTCCCACCTACTCTCAAAGGTTATCCTGATCTATGCCATCCACCGCAACCGCAGTGCTGAGGGTAATTATGCTCTATGCTCCGACGAGAACCAACCCCGGGCGCATCGTGTAAGCTAACCAACTACGTGGCTAGGCGTCTCCTGGATCACCCAGGTCCTCTATGCCGTCGTGTTCTGCTCTCGATACACCGATATCTTCACCGAGACGTCGAAATGGAACTACTTCTTTAAGCTGTTCTATATACTCTCCTCCATCTATATCATCGCCATCATGCGCTGGATCTATCCACGAACGAGGGAACGGGAGATTGCCTGGAAACTAGGAGCTGGTATTCTCGCAGGCTCCCTCTTACTCGCTCCGTTTGTGATGCTCATCTTCGAGGGCAAGAAGCAATGGTCTTTCTTCACGGTTCGTACCCTCTCTTATCCACCTGTCCCGATCGGCAACTAATGATTGCTCACAGTGGGTTTGGGATTTCTCCCAAATTCTCGAATCAATCTGCGTCTTGCCCCAGCTCCTTCTCCTCCGACAGACGAACGTCCCGACCGTTATCGACTCGTTCTACCTCATCTCCCTAGGCTCATATCGTGCTCTCTACTGCCTCAACTGGATCTGGAGGGAGCTGGACCCCAACGACCGGAAACCGAACGCTGTGTCCGTCATCTTCGGCATTATCCAGACCCTCCTTTATTTCGATTTCTTCTGGGTGTACTACACGCGACAACGTGTTAAGCTCCGGTACGGCGGCATCGTTGACGCTGATGATATTCGACGAGGCTGGCTTCTCAACCGTATCTTCGGCAACAAGCATTTCGAAAACGACCAAGAAGACGAGGAGAGCGTCCCAGCTCTAAACAGTGAGGATAACGGCCATGCCTCGTCTCAGCGGCGGTCGAAATGGGGTGCCCGAGGTATTTCGATTAGTGCCGACGACACAACATTTGAGCATGAACGTCACCATGATCCGAATGATGAGATCTCAGGGGTCGTCGACCCAGATGCGAAGATGAGGGACCCCGATGAGCTAGCACGAGCTCTTGATGATGATGACGACGACGATGACGAGGATCACAGCGCCCCGTCGGGATCAAACACAAACTCGAATAAGAATGTGCCCCCTGGTGTGAACGATGAGAATGAGTGGCGGAGCAATTAAGAGCTGGTATTCCCTGGTGTAAAGGGATGCAATGTACTATCCCAGGGTTTTAACAACCCGGCCCTCCTAAACTACCACAGGGTCCTTCGAAAAGCAATCCCATTGCTTGGTTACATTCACAACGTAGCCGATGTTTATTTCCCGATTATTTGTGTTGGGGATGGCGTACTGGAGTCAAGAGTACGAGGTGGGGAGCATATGCGAACGATAGGACGCAATACTGACTGTATCATAGTGCGCGGTGTGACGTAAAGTCGGAAATTTATTACCCATCCGCAACGCATGAGTCTCCTTGATTAGTGCTGCTTCTAGGACATTTCTTGATAGCTATTTGAATATAAAAAATTGAAGACCATAACCTACTTCCTACTTCGAGAGGTGGGAAGGGGCATAGAAACCGAAATACTTATCATATACTATAGCAGACGCATCGTCAATTATATTAAATTCGCACATTGGTAACAGCTGTTGTGTCCGTCGTTGATCTTGTACCGTATTTTAGATGCTCGTACTAGATCTTGAGTTGATGTTCTGTTCTGCTTGGTTGACGCTAGCCGGCCGAATCAGGCCCTCGACTGGACTTGTAATCTACCCACCTAGTCTAGCGTGTTGGGTTGTGAAGAGGAAAGTAGCACCAGCAGGCATGCGGAAGCAAAGACAAGAAAAATTTAATATGCATAAAAGAAGGATTTTGTCTCATGATGACCTCGCTGGGGGTCGAACCCAGAATCTCCTGATTTATCGTGAAGATTTCAGTCCGGGATTCTTGGTTTAATTCCCGGTCTGGATCTCTATCGTAGTCAGACGCCTTGCCATTGGGCCACGAGGCCGTTTGATCATCTATTGTGGTGGACATGCTGCCGAAGCCGGACTTGAATTGTAGGTGCGGCGACCAATCCTAACTAATATTCGGGGTAGGTAGGTTTAGCCGAGAGCAGGACAATCCCGATTCGTGGACGGGGAAAGCCTTGGCATTCAAACGGCACTGAATGATACATATCCGATGGGATTGAACCAACAAACGTTCCCCTTTTATAATTTTGAGGTTCATCTACTGCGCTTAACTAAGGCAGGTCGAGCATATCGGGATAGGATTAGGTGTGCTTGTTAGGTAGGTACCTGCCTATGTACATATAGGTAGGTTTTTAGATACTTAGGTGTGTACGTGTTACTTAAGGCTAGGTCATAGCTATAACCATACAAGTGCGAGACTCTGTACAAGGCTTGAGATTTCCGTTCACCAGGCTAGTATAGTATACCAAAACAGCTCTGCGAGAGCGAGTAGCGCGACGGGAATAGGCAAGGGAAACACTGTAGTTATTCCATTTAGCCGAATAGGGGTTCAATTCGAATAAATACCTTTCCAAGGTCTTATTAACAAACTCTTGTCGGGCACCGATGTGCTAAGTTCCAATAGCAATGATACCTAGGAAAGGTATATACCATCGACCCACGTACCGTGTGTATATATAGCCTTCGGAGGTTGGCGACTTGCTACCTCCTACCTAACTTGGTATGTGTGTGTGTGTGTGTGTGTGTATTTGCGGTTCAGCACGTTACCGGTGAAAAAGTAAGAGCTTACGTATGCTGGGGCCTATATATAATTTCGAATTGGCTTTCAAACACACCTAGATTGCGTCATCAAGTGCAGAAGTGCAGATGGTGTCTCTACGCGAGACTGCCACGGCAGACTTGAGATTGCGTAGTAGCCCGGGATGAATATCATACCATTCAGGCGAATATGAAAGCTCGCCTTTATTATCACGCTAGAACAAAGACGAAGACGTATAGGCTACCAGAGGAAACGAGAAGCGTGTCTAATACACCAAAACTGCACCTGTCTTGCCGCAATTGTTTTGGCTGGTTGTGTTTCAAACGTATGAGAGAGAGACGAAGTCAAGTATGGGGCAAGGTATAGATAGCTCTGCCGTTACGAGAGGAAGTCTTCGGTGACCATGGCGATGCCTAAAGAGGGCATCGTGGTCATGGTCTTCGGTTGGTCCGGGTTCTGCATCAGACGAAGCGACATGGGAAAAGTATACGGGGCTGCGGTTTGTACCGCCTACCGTACTTACAACATAAGGGACTTGAGGTAAATTCAAGAATGGTAGATACACAAGCCCCCCTTCCCCCCTTCTCCCTACTATACTTCCAAGTAGAGCCTTTTCCTCCCACCATGGTGGCGAATGGTCAATCAGGTCGTAAACAAGTAGGCATGCGACTCCTACAGTCCTCTGACATACTTCCACTAGCGGCGGGCGATGGTTTCCCTCATTGCACTCACGAGGTACCATCTCCCGCAGTTGGAACGGGTTTCTCTCGTCAGGCACGCATTCGGGACCCCAGCGCCGAAACAGTAGCACCGATTTCCAATACTCGCATTTCCTTCCTTCCCAATATTTTGAATATAATTTATTCATAAATCCGACTGAGATGTTGCAACCCGCCAAGTAAAAGGTCTGAAAGTTCAGTTCGAGACCGTCAGGTATGCACATGTGATTAGTCCATTACAAGTTACGATTGTGGCAGCACTGAGGGGATAGACAAGGCTTCATAGCAGGAAGTCGTCGATGACTGGGTGTATTGAAATAACTCGAGGTGAATTTAATCTGAGGCGATCGATGCCTTGGAACCGTGCGAGGCTCTCAGTCACAGCAAATTGCGAACAAGTTAAATCATACTGGCCATGCAATAAATACTATTAGGGGCTATTGACAACCCTACCGAAACACCCAACACCTAACACCAGGGAAAAAATACCCAAATCGACAACAATAATGGTATCTATCCAAACATCCGATCTCAATTCGCGAGGAAATAATCGCCGTATACCAACCTAACGCGTCCGAGCGATCTTCCAATATGCTCTGAGTAAACTGAGTCCGCCACTCTGCGTCTCGACGGTCCGTCCGCGGCCGCGCTTATTTGGGTCCTCGGTGATGGCCTGACGCTGCTGCTTTAGTGGCACCTGGCCATACGGTAAATGGCGTGTGTGCGGGTGTTCAGTAGGCGCCGGGCTCCGCCACGTCGTGTCGGTCGGCACACCATAGTTGCGGTAATCTGTCGCATTTTCTTGGTTATCGGCGATGCCGTCGTTCGCCAGCGTCGGCCAGGGCCCGATCCAGTCGCCCGTCAACAGGCCCGCGGTCCACCATTGCCCGAAACGCCCCGCGGCGTCCTGAGTGCCCATGGCGGCGTGGACGTTGTGCTGTAACCAGCCGCTGTATGCTCTGCAGGCGTCGTCGTGAGACTTTTGCAACGCCTCGAAGGCGTGTAGGTGCACCCGCAGTCCGGATTCCGGCGGGGCTGGTTCTAGCGGCGCGCAGAAGGCCGTTAGGTGGTGGAAGAAGATCCCCTTAAACGCCTGTAAGTCCTGGCTTCCTGACCCACTCGCGTCAAGGCGCTCCTCCATGATGCCGAGCCGTCCCAGCCCATGCCATCGCGGGAGGACACCGGCTTTGGCGTGCCGAAGGTCGTCCATGGGCCTATCTTTCACGAGGTCGTAGCCGGTGGCCTTGATCACGTTTTGGATCAGTTCATGTCCGTCCGAGAGGAATGAGGATGCGCCGGTAGCGTCCCAGAGGCCGCGCTGCCCCGTCAGGATGACGCCTTGGTTGTACGAGTAGACCATTTCATCGCGGGCGTCGCACCGGGTGTTGTTGTTGTTCTCGTCGAGATACCCGCTGATGTGAAAGCCATCAACGATCAAGCCCTGGTCGTTCGTCATGTTGGAACTGCGGAGCCAGTGGTAGCCTTCCACAGCCGCCTTCAAGTACTTGGCATCTCGAGGTCCGCTGTACACGTCTAAGTCCGGGTCCTTGGGATTAAATCTGTCCGTGTGGTTGTAGAATGGGGATTCGTTATCGTCGCCGGGGAAATAGAGGTACATTGATATCGACGCCGCGATGAAGAGCTCATTGGTGATGGCGTTCTTGTATGGGAGTAGCTTGGGGTTCCAGACCATCCCTCCCTTGCATAGCTTTGTATCCCATCCATGCGATGCGAGATCCCAGAACACACGCGCCCGGTGGGCGAAAGAAGGGATCCATATGTCCCCGTGGTAGGGTTGATTGGGAATCATTGTGCAACTTTTGAAGATCTCGTCAGTGACACCTGGCGTTGCCTCGGACAGATCTGATTTCGCGGGGACGTAATATAGGTCGTTGTGCGTATTGACGAATCGGATGGTTTCAAGCCAACCCAGAACCACCCAGAGGATATCGTCATATGCTTCGCCTCTAATAGCTAGAGCATCCTGGCCAAAGTAATAAGCTATGGTTTGGGCGAAATAGTTGTCGATCAGGTTGGAAGCCCGCCTCCAATCAGAACCGCTGTCCCATTTTGAATGTAAGAATACAAGGTCTTCGGAAATGCTGCGAGTTGCCCCCGAAACGTGTGTGCCTATCACAGCGGCTGTCCAGTCGATGGCATCGGGCCAGGTTCCCACCCACGGAGAGAAGTATTCTGACTGTGTGACATTTAGTGCATTTAGGAGATCGGCGAATACACTATTATCTGCGATGGGAGCTCGCCTAGTCCCAGTGGCACTTTGTATGGAGGGCGGGAGGAAGCTGACTGGCGCGATCGGGTCGCATAGCTTTTGTGTCTGGAAGAAAATATTGCATTTCTCAGGGAGGTTAAATACGGTTGCGGCGCATGCGAAAGATATATAACAGGATATCGTAGGGACAAGTTTCAAGATACCAATCATCTTGACTATAGGAATAAGGACGTCGATGAAAGTCGAGGGTTGGGTTGAGGAATTTTAGGAAAATACCAAGATAGATAACTTGAGGGGGATAGCGAGGAATGACTAGTTTAGCTAGAGGGTAATTCCTGTAGGGGGAAGTCGACAGGTCCGGATTCACCTTGAGACATCGAAGTAGTTTGATATTTGGAGTCGCGCGAATGTAGTAATAACAAAAGAACAAGGAGAATGGGCAAGACTGGCGAATGGTAGAGACATATATATATACAAATAAATATATTTAGGTTCAAGCTGGAAAATAAGGAACAAGGCGTTTGTGTTTTGAAAACTCTAATGCCAGGCTACGTCTATACCTTATCAAGGGACGTGCTGAATTTAAACTCATACCGGGCCGGCTCAAGGTAGGTTTTGAGCATAGCCTCGAAGTACCTAATTACTCCACAAAATAGGTAGATTGTTGAAATGGGATGAGGAAGGGGATGGTTACATATATATGTAGGTAGGTATTTAGACAAGAATTGCCCCGCGTTCTCAAGCTGATCTCATTGGTAGCCCCATTCGGCCGCCTGAAGTAGGTACGTTTTGGATCAGCCCCTCGGAGGCACGCTAAGCTTGGCGAGCTTAAACGATGTATGAGGTCAGAAACTGGCTTGATATATAATTTACTGTAGGCTCTAGGATCCCGTGACCTCAATGCAAGGCAATCCCATACTCAAGAAGCAGTAGACTATGTACTGCATGCAGCAAATAGAAGTGGTTACGACACGGGCCGAGGAAAAGGGTAATATGTTGAATATAGTGGCTGTTGATTCAATATTATGTCCTGGCAAATGCACAAACAACTGACGATTCGCCAAAAATTACATTCCTTGCTGGCGTATACTCAATACACTATGTGCTCCTCGAATTCCGATCGCCGTATTGGGTATTTAGTCACTTGTTGGCATTTCCCAGGGTCCTGCATTTCACCCCGTAATATACATAACTCCCTCCATTAGACATATACGCTCACTCCCAGTTAAGGGGAAAACCTGTTAGTAGCCGGTAGACTGCTCATAAAAACCGTTTCTCAAATTCGCCAAATAGCTGGGGACTAATCTCATCGCTACTGAGGCCATGGAC